GGTTTGGGGGGATTTTTTAGGGAGTTTGGGAGTGATTTTTTAGGGGGTTTTGGGATGATTTTTAGGAGGTTTTGGGGTGATTTTTAGGGGGTTTTGGGGGATTTTTTAGGGGGTTTTGGGGAGTGATTTTTTAGGGGGCTTGGGGTGATTTTTTTAGGGGGCCTTGGGGTGATTTTTTAGAGGGTTTGGGGGTGATTTTTAGGGGGCTTTGGGGTGATTTTTTCGGGGGTTTTGGGGTGATTTTTCAGGGGGTTTGGGAGGTTTTGGGGGTGTGGGTGCCCCTGTGCCCTCCCGGGGTCCCAGCCCCGCGTGTCCCCAGGGATCGAGGCCACCACGGTGTTCTGGCCGGCCCAGCCCCGGGGCAGCGCCCGGCCCGTCCTCTTCCAGCTGCACTTCTGGGACTGCGGGGACGGAGCCCTGAGGAAGTTCGAGCACCTGCTGCCCGTGAGTCCCTTTTTTGGGGTGGGGGGACCCCCCCGGGACCCCCCCGACGTTGTTTGTCCCCCCCCAGGCCTGTCAGGAGGAGCTGGACGCCGTCCTGGTGCTGTTCTCCTTCACCGACCGCGCGTCCTTCGAGGAGCTGCCGGCGCAGCTGAGCCGCCTCTCGGGGCAGGGGCTCGTCACCGTGGTCGTGGGCACCAAGTATCCTTTTGGGGGGTCCCCGGGGGGGGGGGCAGCGCCCCACCAAGGGGGTTTGCACCCCCAGAGTCCTCCCGGGTGGGATCTCGTGTGGCTGAGAACGGGCAGCACCTCGTTGCACCGATGGGGTCACAAATCCCACTGGTTTTTATGGGGCTTGTTGGGGGGGTGTTTGAGGTGTTGGGGTCTCCCCTGACCCTGTGTCAGCCCCCCCCAGGGCAGGTTTGCACCTCCAGATTTCTCCCCACTCAGTCCCCCCTGAGGCAGAGCCCGTTCACAGCTCACTGCACTGATGGATTCCCGGCTCCCCCTGATTTTTAGGGGGTTTTGGTTTTGGGGGGTCTAGGGAGGATTTTTGGGGTGTTGGTGTCACCCGTGGCCCCGTGTCCCCCCCAGGGCAGGTTTGCCCCCCCTCGTCTCCCCCCTGCAGAGCCCGTTCCCAGCTCATCACACTGATGGATCCGCAGCTCCCGCGGGGTTTGGGGGAGTTTAGGGGGAATTTTGGGGGAGTTTCGGGGTGCTGCCGTTTCCCTTGACCCTCCGTGTGCCCAGGTCCGACCTGTCCCCGCACGCGGCCGTCACCGAGGGGGAGGTTCGGGCTCTCGAGGCCGCGCGGGGGCTGCGGGTGCTGCGGGCGGGGGCGGCCCCGGGGGGGGCGCGGGCCGGGCTGACCCGGGCGGCCCCGATCCTCGATTCCCTGGTGGAACAGCTCTGGAAAAGGGACCAGGTCGCCGCCGGGGTGGCCCGCGGGGAGGAGGGGACCCCCCCCCAGCTGAACCCCCTGTCAGGGGGCGGCTCCGGGGGGAGGCGGGAGGGGAAAAGGTGCTTTTTGAGTAAAATCTGTGTTTTCTATGAAAAAAGATCCCGGGGAGCCTCAACTTCCTGAAATTTCCTGAAATTCAGGGGGTTTGGGGTGCGGGGGGATTTGGGGTGCTGGGGATTTGGGGTGCTGTGCGTTATGGAGATGGGGTTGTGGGGGATTTGGGGGGATTGGGGTGCAGTGGGATCGTGGGGATGTGGGTCCTGCAGGATTTGGGGTGCTGGGGGTGGGGGCTTTGGGGTGCTGTGTGTTATGGAGATGGGGGTGCTGGGGGATTTGGGGTGCAATGGGATCGTGGGGCTGCAGGTGCTGGAGGATTTGGGGTGCTGGGATGGAGGTGTGGGGACCTTTGGGATGCTGGGGATTTGGGGTGCAATGGGATCGTGGGGATGTGGGTCCTGCAGCATTTGGGGGTTGCAGATGCTGGAGGATTTAGGATGCTGGGGGTGGGCTTTTGGGGTGCTGTGGGGTTTGTGGGGCTGCAGATTCTGGAGGATTTGGGGTTCTGTGGGTTGATGAAGATCAGGGTGCTGGGGGATTTGGGGGGATTTGGGGTGCAGTGGGATCACAGCGATGTGGGTTCAGAAGAATCTGAAGTGCTGAAGGATTTGGGGTGCTGGGGGATTTTGGGTGCTGGGAAGGGGGTCCTGGGGGATTTGAGGTGCCTTGGGGTAAGTGGGATCCTGAGAATTTGGGGTGCAATGGGGTACTGGAGAGGCGGAAGGATTTGGGGTTCTGGGGGATGCTGGGATGGGGATGTTGGGGGATTTGTGGGGCTAAGATGGGGGTGTGCTGGGTGATTTAGGGTAAGTGGGGTGTGCCGGGGACTTGGAGTGCCACGGGATCATGGGGGTGTGGGTGCTGCAGGATTTGGGGTGCTGGGGATGGAGGAGTGGGGGATTTGGGGTGCTGTGGATCCTGTGGGATTTGGGGTGCTGTGAAGTGATGGGGATTTGGGGTGCTGGGAGATTTTGGGTGCTGTGCGTTATGGAGATGTGGGTGCTGGAGAATTTGGGGTGCTGGGGGATTTGGGGTGCAGTTGGGAACCTGGGGATGGGGGGTGGGGGGTGCAGGATTTGGGGTGCTGTGGGATTGTGGGAGTGGGAGGGCGGCAGGATTTGTAGTGGGACTTGAGGTGCTTGGGGGAGATGGGGGTGGTGCAGGATTTGGGATGCTGCAGGATTTGGGGTGCTAGTGCTGATGGAGTTGGGGTGCTGCGGGATTTGGGGTCCTGTGGGTGGTGCAGAATTTGGGGTGCTTGGTGAAGGTTTGGGGCGCTGAGGATTTGGGGCGCTGCGGTGTTTGGGGCCCTGGGGCTCGAGGGGGCCGGGCAGCCCCCCCAAACCAGCCCCCCCAAACCAGCCCCTCCCCCAGTCCCCCCAGTCCCGAACTGGTGGGCGGGGGGCGTGGCCGGTAGTAGCCCCTGGCCCCGCCCCCCTCCCGCCATTGGCTGCCGGCCCCCCCCTTCCCACGCTGGTTATGAATGAACGGGGAGGGGGCGGGGGGGGCTCCGGGACCCCTTCGCGGCCGGACCGGGACCCCCAAAGCCCCCCCACGGCTGTTCCCCGCTCCCCGGGGGCGCTCCCAGAGCCCGCTCCCTTCCGACGGCCTCGTCCCACCCCCGGCAGCGCGGCCTCCCAGTGCCGGACTGGGGCGAACTGGGAGCGGCCGCGGCGCCTTTAAGAGCGGGCGTGGCCGGTGACGTCACCGGGGCATGAATGAACAGGAGCGGGCGCGCGCCCCACACACCCCACACACCCCACGCACCCCACACCTCGCGGGGCACCCCCGGCACCCCCCGCCATGGCCGGGACCCCCCCGACCCTCACCCTCCTCCTCCTCACCGCCCTCGCCCCCCTGCCCCCCGCGGCGGCCGAGGAAGGTGAGTCCCGCGCTTCTATTTTGGGGGGGGGACACCCCAAAAGTCATTGTCGGGGTGCTCGGGGGGAATTCATAGAGGTGAGGCGGGTTTGGGGCAAATCCGCGTGGTTTTGGGGCGTTGAGAGGTTGGGGAGCGCTCGGAAAGTAAAGGAAGAAGGGGTGCTCCCCCCCTCCCAAAATAAATTTGGGGTGCGGGGGGGAATCAGCGGGTGCGGGGGGGAAATGGTTAAAATGAGGGGGAAAAGTTAAAATTAGGGTGGGAAAGTTGAAGCGAAGGGGGAAAAGTTAAACTAAGAGGGGAAAAGTTGAAATAAGTGGGAGGGGGATTAAAAAGGTGGGGGAAAAGCTAAAAATAGGGGGGGGAGAGCTAAAATGGGCCCGGGGGCTAAAATATAGGAGGGAAAAGTTTAAATAGAGGGAAGAAAAGCTCAAAAAAGTGAAAACTGAGAGGTGTGGGGGATTTTTCCCATGCCGAGTGCCCGGCTGACGCTCCGGGGCCGGGTCCTGCTGGGAGCCCCCAGAAAAGGCTGACAGAGGGGGGCGGGTGGAGGGGATTTAAAAACCAAACCCCCCAAAAAGGGGAAAATCCCCCTAAAATGGAGCGTTTCCCATGGGCGGTTCAGGGCCGGGCGGGATCCGGCCCGGAGAGCTGGAAAACAATGTCAGGAAAATCCCAAAAATCTCTGGGAAAAAACAAGCAGCGTCTCGGCCTCCACCTCACAACCCTTCCCCCCGTGGTTTTAGGGCTTAGTTTGGGGGGTTGGGGTAAAAAAAAAAGGGGGAATTCACTTTTTTTTATACATAGGTTGAAGTTCTTTAAAATTAAAGTCTCTCCAAACTCTGCCCGACGGGTTTAATCCGGCGTTTTTCGAGGGAAAGGGGGAAGAATCCGGCCCCAAATGCAAATAAATCAGAGGCTGGGATAGAAAATACCCCCCTCAGAACTAAAAATGGGGTGGAAAAAACCTTAAAGTGAGGATTTTTGGGAGTGCAGGGGGGAAGGGGGAGGGGGGTGACCCCGTGGAGGGGACCCCCAATACCCCGAGGTGACTGCAGGATTTGGGGTGTGTTCCCGAAGTGCCGATTCCCAGGAGGGAATGTTGGGATTTGGGGTTTCAAAAGGGCAGGGGAGGGAAGGGAAAGTGGTGGGAGAGAGGCAGGATTTGGGGTTAAGGGGGGGTTGGTTCCCAGCACTTGGAAAGGGCGAGATCTGGTGGGATTTGGGAGATCTGAGGGTGGGGAGGGGGTTAAGGAGCAGGGAATGGGATAGGGGTGGGATCCATTTTGGGATTATGATTGAGACTGAGGAGGGGACAGGATTGGGATGGGGATGGGAGTGAGAGGGCATAGGATTCATTGTGGGATTGGGATTCAGATTAAGGTTGAGATGAGGGTGGGATTGGGATGGGATTGGGGTGGGGACAGGAACATGAGTGGGGACAGGATTTTGGTTCATTTTGGGTATGGGGACAGGACTGGGATGGGATGAGGATAGAACAGGACAGGGTGGAAAATGCAGTGGATGGGGAAGGGATGGAGCTGGGAATGGGACCGGGATGCAGCTGTGGAGTGGGGGGGGGGTGAGGAGGAGGATGGGGGAGGTGGGGGGTGGCCACGTTCATGGTGGCACATGGTGGTGGTGGCCACGGCGATGAAGATGATGAAGATGAAGGGGGGGGTGGCTGTGGTGACGATGGCCATGGAGAATGTGAGGATGGTGATGATGGCAGAGGGGGGGCAGGTGCCGCCGGAGCTGTCCCGGGGCTGTCCCGGGAGCTCCCAGGATGCTGCACCCTTTGACTCAGCAGCCACAGCCCCGGGATCCTCCCTGAGCCCCCCCGCCCGGCACGGGGGGACCCCACGGGGACCCACAGGGACCCCCCGCCCCAAAACCGGGGGGAGCTCAGAGAGTACCCACAGGGAACCCCCGCCCCAAAACCGGGGGGACCCCACAGAGAACCCACAGGGACCCCCTGCCCCAAAACCGGGGGGAGCTCAGAGAGAACCCACAGGGAACCCACAGGGAACCCTCGGACCCAAAACCAGGGGGAACCCACAGAGAACTCCCCGCCCCAAAACCGGGGGGACCTCACGGGGAACTCACAGGGAACCCCCAGACCCAAAACCGGGGGGACCCCACAGAGAACCCACAGGGACCCCCCGGGACCCCCCGCCCCATTCCCGGGGGACCCGGCCCCGGCTCCCGGCGCTTTCCGCTCTCCGGAGGCACGCGGGGGGATTTCCAGCCGCAGGAAAACCGGGATATCCGCCCGGGCATCCTTCCTGACCCCGGGCACGGCAGTGGAGGGGGGGACACAATTCCACCCCCCCCCCCCGCTCCGTTTTAAGCACCAAATCCCAACATTCCCTCCTGGGAATCAGCACTTTGGGAACACACCCCAAATCCCGCAGCCGCCCCGGAGTGTTGGGGGGTCCCCGCCGAGGGGTCGCCTCCTTTTATCTTCCCCCCCAGCGCTTCCAAAAAATCCTCGTTTTAGGGGTTTTTCCCCCATTTTTGGTTTCTTAGGGAGGCGTTTTCTATCCCAGCCTCCCATTTATTTGCATTCGGGGCCGGGCTCTTCCGCCTTTCCCTCGAAAAACGCCGGATTAAACCCGTCGGGCAGAGTCTGGACAGACTTTAATCCTAAAAGAAATCAATGGATGTGAATTTGCCCCCCCCCCCGCAGGTTTTGGGGTGTGTCCCCCCCCGATTTCACCCTCCGGGGCAGGTCGAGCTCGTCCGTTCCCAGCGGGGGGAGCCGGGGGGGCACATCCCACATCCCGACCCTCCCCCGTCCCGCCGGACCCATCCCGGTGACCTCGGGCGTCCGGGCACATTCCTGGGGGGTGATTCACCCAGGGGGGGCCCCGCTCCCTCCCGGCCCTCGGCGGCCTCCTCTTCCTCTTCTTCCTCCTCTTCCTCCTCTTCCTCTCCCGGCGCTGGATCCGGACCCGCCCTGGACGTGCCCCGGCAGGTCCGGGCCCGGCACCGCCGCCGCTCCCCCTCCTTTGGGGGCGGCTCGGGGGCATCCCGGGGGAATCTGTTGGGAATGAGGGCGGGATCCGTGGGTCTAAGGGACGTTTGTGGCGTCTGGGAATGTTTGGAGGTCGTGTGGGGATGTCTGTGGGGATGGGGTGGATCTGGGGGTCCTGGGGACCTCTGGGAGTCCTGAGCACATCCATGGATCCTGGTGGCATCTGTGGGGCCAAGGGATATCCATGGATGCTGAGGACATCCATGGATCCTGGGGGCATCTGTAGGTCCCAGGGATATCCATGGATGCTGAGGACATCCATGGATCCTGGGGGCATCTGTGGGGCCCAGGAGTGTTTGCAAGCCCTGGGAATTTCCATGGGTCATGGGGACGTCTCTGGGAACTGGGGACATCCGTGGATCCCATGGACAACTGTGGATCCCAGGGCACCTGTGGGGATGGGGTGGATCTGTGGATCCTGGGGATATCCATGGATCTTGAGGACATCCGTGGATCCCGGCGGCATCTCTGGGTCCCAGGAGCGTTTGCAAGCCCTGAGAGCTTCCATGGGGACATCTGTAGGTACTGGGGACATCCATGGATCCCAGGGCACCTGTGGGTCCTGGGGGATGTCCGTAAGTCCTGGAAGCATCTGGGAGTTCAGTGATGTCTGTGGGTCCAAGGGCACCTGTGGGTCCTGGGGGACGTCCGTGTGTCCTGAAGGATAGATGTCAGTGGATCCCAGGATCTGGGGGTCCGAGGGGTGTCCTGGTGGCACCTGCAGGTCCTGGTGGCATCTCCTGACGTTCCTCTCCTCTCTCCTGTCCCACAGTGGTGCTGCTGGACTTCGCCAAGGCACACGGGGAGCTGGGCTGGCTCACCCATCCCTACGGAAAAGGGGTGAGCACCCGGGATCCAGCACCCCAACCGGGATGGGGACAGGGAATGGGGACATCCTTGGGGCCAGGGAATGGAGACCTCTCCATAGGGGACCTCCATGGGATTGGGGTCCTCCATGGGGATCTCCATGGTGATGGGGACAGGGACATCCTTGGGGACCTCCACAGGGATGGGGAAGGGGAACGCCCACGGGAACAGGGACATCCATGGAGACCTCCCTAGTGATGGAAACAAGGACCTCCATGGGCATGGGGAAATCCATGGGGATGCTGGTGGGGGAATCAATGGGGATGGGGATGGGGACACCCCCAGGGACAGAGACATCATGGGGGGGGGGGGGACAGGTCCACACGTGGGGACTGAGATGGGGACATCCATGGGGTTGGAAAGCTCCACTGGGTGTGTCCTGGGACCTCCATGGAGCCAGGAACACCCATGGGGATGGAGATGTCCATGAGGTTGTGGATCTCCGTTGGGATTGGGGACATTCAAAGGGCCAGGGGCATCCATGGAGATGGAGATGGGGACATCCATGGGGTTGGAGAGCTGCAGTGGGGTGTGACTGGGGACCTCCATGGAGCCAGGAACACCCATGGGGATGGAGATGGGGACATCCACAGGGTTGTGGATCTCCGTTGGGATGTGGTTGGGGACATTCACAGGGCCAGGGGCGTCCATGGGGACAGAGATGGGAATGTCCATGGGGCTGTGGATCTCCACTGGGATGTGACCGGAGATCTCCACAGGGCCGGGGGTGTCCATGGGTGTAGAGCTGGGGACACCTGCAGGGATGAGGCCGAGTGCCTCCGTAGGGACCATTGTGCCTCAGTTCCCCCTCCAAGTGCCGTTTGTGTCTCCGTGGGGACAGTGGGACCAGCTGCAGAACGTCCTCAACGACTCCCTGATCTACATCTACTCCGTGTGCAACGTCCTGGAGGGGGAGCAGGAGAACTGGCTCCGCACCAACTGGATCTACCGGGGGGTGGCCGAGCGCATCTTCATCGAGCTCCAGTTCACCGTCCGCGACTGCAACAGCTTCCCCACGGCCGGGGGCGGCTCCTGCAAGGAGACCTTCAACCTCTACTACGCCGAGTCCGACGTGGATTATGGCACCAACTTCCAGAAGCGGCAGTTCCGGAAGATCGACACCATCGCCCCGGACGAGATCACCGTGCAGGAGGATTTTGCCGCCCGCAACGTCAAACTCAACGTGGAGGTTCGCTCGGTGGGGCCGCTGCGGAGGAAGGGCTTCTACCTGGCCTTCCAGGACCTGGGCGCCTGCGTGGCCCTGCTCTCCGTCAGGGTCTACTACAAGCGCTGCCCGGCGGTGATCCGGGGGCTGGCGGAATTCCCGGAGACCGTGGCCGGGGCGGACTCGCAGGCGCTGGCCGAGGTGCGGGGGGTGTGCGTGGAGCGGGCGGAGGCCGAGCAGGCGCCGGCCCTGCACTGCAGCGCCGAGGGCGAGTGGATCGTGCCCATCGGGGAATGCCTGTGCCAGGCCGGATTCCAGAGCCTGGGGGACACCTGCCAAGGTACGGCCAGTGGGAAACAGGCCAGGAGGGGGTTTGGGGGAGCCAAGGATGGGAGAGGAGCGAGGGGCTTGGCCTTGGAATTCCCGATCCCAGGCGGTCTGTGAGCGCAGCGAGTGTGGCAGCCGGGCTGGGGGGAGCAGGGAGGGGCCCAGGAATAAGGAAGAAATGGGAAATACCCCAAAATTCCAACTCCGGGTTGACAAAATGAGGTTTTGGCTGCGAAATTTCCCGTCCTGGGTTATCAACCCTTGAGCACCACCAGTGCAGTGAGTGTGGCAGGGCTCAGCTGGGAAAGGGGTGGGCTGGGGCAGGAGGGTCCAAAAAGGAGGGGAATGCCCTAAAAATTCCCATTTTGGGTTGAGGAATGAGGTTTTGGCCACGAAATTCCCGATCCTGGATGGTCAGCCTTGAATGTAATGAGTGTGACAGGGCTCAGCTGGGCGAGGAGTGGGGTGGGAGCGAAGAGGAATGAGGTTTTGGCCCCGAAATTCCCAATCCTGAATCATCAACCTTGAGTGTAGCGAGTGTGGCAGCTGGGCTGGGGTGAGCAGGGATGGTCCCAGTAATAATGGAAGTTGCAAAATAAGGTAAAATAACCTAAAATTCCCATTTGGGGTTGGAGAAATGAGGATTTGGCCCCAAAATTCCCGATCCTGGATGGTCAACCTTGAGTGCAGTGAGTGTGGCAGGGCTCAGCTGGGAGAGGGGGGTTCTGGAGGGTTCCCAATAATAAAGAAGCTGCAAAAAAAGGTGAAACACCCTGAAAACCCCCACTTTGTTCAGGAGAAATGAGGCGTTAGTCCCAAAATTCCCAGTCCTGGATCGTTCCCCTGGAGCATCACCAGTGTAGCGAGTGCAGCAGGGCTCAGCCAGGAAGGGGCTGAATCGGGATGGGCTGGGGGGGTCCCAGCGTTAATAGAAGCTGCAAAATGAGGTGAAACACCCTAAACTTCCCACTTTTTTTTGGAGAAGTTAAGTATTACTCCCAAAATTCCCAATTTATATCACCAGAGCAGTGAGAGTGACAGGGCTCAGCTGGGAGAGGGGGAAACCAGGGGGGATCCCAATAATAAAGAAGCTGCAAAATGAGGTGAAACCCCCTAAAATTTCCCCCCTCTGGGTGCTTGGGTGGGTGCTGACCCCCCTCCCCACCACCTGGGTGCAGGTCCCTGGGTGGGAAGGGAGATTTGGGGTCTCACAGATGTCACTGTGCGGGGAGGTGGATTTAAGGTGTCTCTGTGTGGGGAGGGCAATTTGGGGTGTCCCAATGTGGGAGGATTTGGGGTCTCACTGGTGTCCTTGTGTGTGGATTTAGGGTGTCCTGTATGTGGATTTAGGTGTCCCTGTGTAGAGAGGATTTGGGGTCTCAGCAGTGTCCCTGTGTGTGGATTTAGGTGTCCCTGTGTGGGGAGGGGGATTTAGGGTGTCCCTGTGTGGGGAGGATTTGGGGTCTCACCAGTGTCCCTGTGTGTGGATTTAGGTGTCCCTGTGTGGGGAGGGGTATTTGGGGGATTTGGGGTGTCCCTGTGTGGGGAGGGGGATTTGGGGTGTCCCAATGTGGGGAGGGGTGTTTGGGGTCTCACAGGTGTCCCTGTGTGGGGAGGGGACATGGGGTCTCACTGCTGTCCCTGTGTGTCCCCAGCCTGCCCCCCCGGCACCTTCAAGGCCGCCGTGTCCCCGGGGGGGTGCCAGCCCTGCCCCCCCAACACGGAGCCCTCCCCGGCCGCCGCTGCCTCCTGCCCGTGCCAGGAGGGGTTTTTCCGGGCCCCCCAGGACCCCCCGGAGGATCCCTGCACCCGTAAGTCACCTCCTGGGATTGGGGGGGGGGGGATATCGAGGTGCAGCCCCCCCACTGACCTCCTGTTACAACCCACCCCAGAAAAGGGAGGGGGGGTAACCCAGGTTCTTATCAATAATTCCCTTGGGGCGGATTAGAGTGAAACGACCCTGAATAATGGTGCTTGAAAACATATAGGTAGGGTTTATTTTAACAATTTTGTTTAAATAGGTATGTTAGCATTTGGAGTGTTATGATCTGTCTCTCTCATCTACAGCAATGTGGCATAAAGAGAACCTTCAGGGAAAATGCATTAGGGAGAGAAAGGAAAGACAGGAGAAGGGTAAGGGAGAGGAAGGGAAAGCAAAGCTGAGAGTGGACAGATGTCTATAGTCACTGCCCATGGGGTCCAGCGATGGAACTTGGTAGTTGCAGCTCCCATGTCTGTCCATTGAAGTGGTGGCCTTGATCCATTGGGGGTGGGGGAGGGAAGCTCCCACACTCAAAGATCCATGGTTGGTGTCACAGGCCGTGCCACGAACCCCCAACATCTCCTGGCCCTGCGCAGAGTTCCCGTGAGGGGCCTGGGAAAAGGGTTTTTCCTGCCTGTCAGGATTGTCGGGGGTGGGATGGGCTTTGATGGGCCATCAGAGGTAAAATGCAGAAGTCCTGCAGAAGCCTGCGAGAGTCCCTTGGCAATCCTAGAATGCACAAATCATGAACTGTGTCAGTCTCTGACCCCCCGTGTGTGTCCCCAGGTCCCCCCTCGCCCCCCCAGGGGGTCACGGCCGTGGCTCTGGGGGCCGCGGTGCAGCTGCGCTGGGACCCCCCCGCCGACCCCGGGGGCCGCGGGGACGTCACCTACAGCGTCACCTGCGAGCAGTGCTGGCCTGACGGCGGCGAGTGCCGGCCCTGCGACGGCGGCGGGGTGAGGTTCTCGCAGCCCCCCCGGGGGCTCACGGCCACCTCCGTCACCGTCACCGACCTGGAGCCGCTCGTCAACTACACCTTCAGCGTGGAGGCCCGGAATGGGGTGTCCCCCTACAGCCCCCAGCGCAGCGTGGCCACCGCCACCGTCAGCGTCAACCACACCGGTGAGGGGCCACCAGCACCTCCCACGGCCGCCCTCCGTCCTGGGGACACCGCCGGGGTGTCCCTGTCCCCCACGGGGACACCTCCGGGATGGTCCCAACCCCCATGGGGACACCTCGGAGATGTCCCTGTCCCCCATGGGGACACCTCTGTGACATCCCCATCCACCACAGGGAGACATCCGTGATGTTCCCAACCCCCATGGGGACACCTCAGAGATGTCCCTGTCCCCCATGGGGACACCTCTGTGACATCCCTGTCACCTCCATATCGTCCCCATCCCCCATTACCTGCGTGAGGTTCCCAAGCCCCATAGGAACCCCCCTGTGATGTCCCTGTCCCCAGAGGGGACACCTCCGTGATGTCCCTGACCCCCCCGGGGACACCTTGGTGACATCCCTGTCTGTGTCCACGGCAGAGCCCCCCCGGGTGACCTCGGTGAGCCTGGACGGACGGACAACCACCAGCCTGGCCCTGTCCTGGACGGTGCCACCGCGGCAGCAGAGCCGGGTCTGGAAGTACGAGGTCACCTACAGCAAGAAGGTCTGTCCTGTGGCACAGCTACAGCCCCACAGCCCAACCCCAGCACCCCAACCCCATCACCCCAGCCCTGCCATCTCCAGCCTTGCCCCATCCATGTCTCCCCCCATCCACGTCACTCCCCAATCCATGTCACCCTCCCATCCTTGTCACCTCCATCCATGTCATCCCTCAGTTCGTGTCCTTCCCATGTTCATCCACCTCCATCCATGTCAACCCCCATCCACGTCTCTCCCATATTCACCCCTCCATCCACGTCACCTCCATCTGTGTCACCTCCTTCCATGCTCCTCTGTCCATATTCCCCTTCCATCCTTGTCCCTTCTGTCTGTGTCACCCCTCCATCCATGTCACCTCCATCCTCGCCTCCATCCATGTCATCCCTCAATTCATGTCCTTCTTGTGTTCATCCCTCCATCCGTGTCACCTCCATCCCTGCCTCCATCCAGGTCACCCCTCCATCCACGTGCCTCCATCCACGTCACACCCCCATCCCTGTCACACCCTCATCCATGTCACATCTCCATCCCTGTCACCTCCATTCTTCCCCAGTCCATGTCCCCTTCCATCCGTGTCACCTCCATCCTTGCTCCCATCCATGTCACATCTCCATCCACGTCACATCTCCATCCCTGCTACCCCCATCCCTGTCCCATCCCTGCCATCCCCATCCCTGCCATCCCCATGCCTGTCACCCCTGTCCCTGCCCCATCCCTGCCACCTCCATCCATGTGCCCCCGTGCCCCCGGTGTCCCCAGGTGGACGAGAACAGCTACTCAGTGCTGCGCTGCGAGGGCCCCTCGGTGACGCTGCCCAAGCTGTCCCCGGGCACCGCGTACGTGGTGCGTGTCCAGGCCCTCACCGCCGACGGCCACGGCGCCTTCAGCCCCCAGCACGAGTTCGAGACCCTGCCCGAGGGTGAGGAGCGAGGGGAGGGGTGCAGGGGGGTGGGGTGGGGGGCCCAGGGGGTGCAGGGCTCACCCGCCACCCCAAATGGTCCCCGCAGGCGCCGAGGCCGCGGCATCCACCGCTGTCATCACCGGCACCGTCGCCGGCGTCGTCTTCGTCGTCGTGCTCTTGGCCGTTCTCCTCTACGTCCTGCGGCGGTAAGGAGAGAAACCCCCCAAAACACCCCGGAAAACCCCCAAATACCATTTTCCCACCACCAAATGTGGGCGAGGGATGATTTTTTGGGACTTTCCGCAGGAGGAGAAGGTCGAGGCCGCGCCAGTCTGCCGAGGACGTTTACTTCTCCAAGTCAGGTGAGCCACGGCACGGTGGGGACAGCGGCGATGGGTGGGGGGTGACGTGGGTGCTGACCCCCCTCCTTGACGCCCCCAGACCAGCTGAAGCCCCTCAAGACCTACGTTGACCCCCACACCTACGAAGACCCCAACCAGGCCATGCTGAAATTCACCACCGAGATCCCCCCGTCCTTCATCACCCGCCAGAAGGTCATCGGTGCCGGTACGTGGCTGGGTCACCCCGCAGACACCCCAAAACTGGGCCGGGCCAGGGGGGTTACAAGTGTCCCCCGTTTTTTGGAGCAGGTGAATTCGGGGAGGTCTACAAGGGCACCCTGAAGCGCGGGAGGAAGGAGGTGCCGGTGGCCATCAAGACGCTGAAGGTGGGATACACGGAGAAGCAGCGCGTGGACTTCCTGAGCGAGGCCACCATCATGGGGCAGTTCTGCCACCACAACATCATCCGCCTCGAGGGCGTCGTCTCCAAGTGTGAGTGTCCAAAAAAAAACCCCGCCCCGATTTCCCTGCAAAACACCCCAAACCCGAGCAATAGAAAACCAGGGTATTTTGAGCAACAACACCAAGAGGAATTTGGGGAGCTTGCAGTTTTTTTGGGTGGTCTTGGGTGTTTTTGGGGGGTGATGTTGGGGGTTTTGGCGGGGGGGGGAATTGGGGTTTATTTGGAGGGGTTTTAGGGGAGTTTGGGGGATTTTTGCAGGAGTTGGGGTGGGTTTAGGGGGATTATTTTGGTTTTTTGGGGGGTTCGATTTTATTTGGGGGTTTATTGGGGTCTGTAGGGGGTTTGGGGCTTTTCGTTGTTTTGGGGAGGTGATTTTTTGGGGGATATTTTGGGGAGTTGGGGTTTTGGGTTTTTTTGTGGGGAATTGGGAGGGTTTGGATTTTTGGGAAGACTTGATTTTGGGGGGTTCTTTTTATGTTGGGCGGGTTGGGGTTGTTTTTTGGGTTTTGGGGATTTTTTTGAGGCAGGTTCAGTGTTCTTGGGGGGCTGAGGATTTTGGGAGGGCTTGGAGGAGGTGGGGGGAACTTCAGATGGTTTTTTCAGTTTTGAAGCTCTTTCAGTTGGGGATTGGAGGGATTTTTGGGGTGTTTTACCCTTTTTGGGCCTGTTTTTTGTACAGACAAGCCCTTCATGATCATCACGGAGTACATGGAGAACGGGGCACTGGACAAATTCCTGCGGGTGAGTGACACGTGGTGACAGGGACAAGGAGAACCTGGTGGTGGAACAAACACCCACCATGGAACGTGGGACGACAGATGGATTCCAGGCTGGATTCTCCCCCTTTCCCAGGAAAAAGAGGGGGACTTCGGTGTCATCCAGCTGGTGGGGATGTTGCGGGGCATCGCCGCCGGCATGAAGTACTTGGCCAACATGAATTACGTCCATCGGGATCTGGCTGCCAGGAACATCCTGGTGAACAGCAACCTGGTGTGCAAGGTGTCCGATTTTGGGCTCTCCAGGGTGTTGGAAGATGACCCTGAAGCCACCTACACCACCAGTGTAAGTGTCACCACAGAGGGGTGGTGGGTTGGTTGCAGTGGGTGGTTGGTTGTGGAGGGATGGTTGGTTGGCCATGAAGGGGTGGTTGACCAAGGTGAGGCAGTTGTCCAAAATGGAGGTGGTTGGTTGTCCAGGGTGGAGGTGGTTGGCCATGGTGAGATGGTGGGTTGGCCATGGAGGGGTGGTTGGCCAAGGTGAGGTAGTTGACCATGGAGGGATGGCTGGTTGGCCATTGTGAGGTGGTGGGTTGACCAAGGTAGGCTAGTTGGTTGGTCATGTTGGGGTGGTTGACCAACATGCAGTGGTTGTCCAAGGTGGAGATCGTGGGTTGGCCATGGAAGGGTGGTTGGTTGGCCATTGTGAGGTGGTGGGTTGACCAGGGTAGGCTGGTTAGTTGGTCATGTTGGGGTGGTTGACCAAGGTGAGGTGGTTGTCCAAGGTGAGGTGGTCAGTTTGTCAAGGTGGGCTGGTTGGTTGGCCATGGAGGGGTGGCTTGTTGACCATGGAGAAGTGACTGGCCAAGGTGAGGTGGTGGGTCATCCAAGGTAGGGTGGTTGGTTGGTCTTGTTGGGGCGGCGGTTCATATCAGGGTGGTTGGCCAAGGTGAGGTGGTTGGCCATGGTGGAGGTGGTTTTTTGGGGGGTGCAGAGTTGACCCCAATGTTTCCGTAGGGCGGGAAGATCCCGATCCGTTGGACGGCACCTGAAGCCATCTCCTACCGCAAGTTCACCTCAGCCAGCGATGTCTGGAGCTTCGGCATCGTCATGTGGGAGGTGATGTCCTACGGCGAGAGGCCCTACTGGGAGCTCTCCAACCACGAGGTGAGCACCCACCCTCCACCACCAGGGTTTGGGGGACATCCAAGGCCAGGTTGGACGGGGCTTGGAGCAACCTGGGATAGTGGGAGGTGTCCCTGCCCGTGGCACAGGATGGGCTTTAAGGTCTTCCAATCTAAACCATTCTGGGATTCTGTGACTTAATGCAACTGGAATAGGGAATTCTGTAGGGAAAAAGGAGATAAATGTGTGGATAGATTTGGTTAGAGACAGGAGACAGGCCTGAACAGCTGGGGATGTTCACCTGGAGAAGAGAAGGCTCCATGGAGACCTGAGAGCCCCTTCCAGTGCCTAAAGGGGCTCCAGAAGAGCTGGAGAGGGACTTGGGACAAGGGATGGAGGGACAGGACAAGGGGGAATGGTTTTAAACTAAAAGAAGGGAAATTTAGATGGGATATTGGGGAGGAATCCTTCCCTCTGAGGGTGATGAGGCCCTGGCCCAGGTTGCCCAGAGAAGCTGTGGCTGCCCCATCCCTGGAAGTGTCCAAGGCCAGGTTGGACGGGGCTTGGAGCAGCCTGGAACAGTGGAAGGTGTCCCTGCCCATGGCAGGGGGTGGGAATGGGATGGGCTTTCAGGTCTCTCCCAACCTAAACCATCCTGTGATTCTTGCAAACATGAAGCTTGTTTGGGGGGTCATCACTCACCCTCCTCCTCCTCGTAGGTGATGAAGGCCATCAACGAGGGTTTCCGGCTCCCGGCGCCCCTGGACTGTCCCTCGGCCATCTACCAGCTGATGATGCAGTGCTGGCAGCAGGAGCGCGCCCGGCGACCCAAATTCGCCGACGTCGTCAGCATCCTGGACAAGCTGATCCGCGCCCCCGAGTCCCTCAAGGCACTGGCGGATTTCGACCCCCGGTGAGTGTGGGGAGCTCTAGGATGGGGGGAGTGCAGGGAGGGGGGACAGTGACCCAGGGAAGTGTCCAAGGCCAGGCTGGACAGGGCTTGGAGCAACCTGGGCTAGTGGAAGGTGTCCCTGCCCATGGCAGGGGGTGGGATGGGATGGGCTTTAAGGTCCCTCCCAACCCAACCATCCTGGGATTCTCTGATTCCAACACACCTTTGTGTCTTCCGTTGCTTTTGGCACCATTTTTGCACCAGTTTTTGTAGTTCTGTGTTCCCCTGGTGCTGGTTCATGTTGGGGTTTGCATCTCTTCACCTTCGCGTTGCTTTTGGTGTCTCCATTTCTCCCTCGGTTTTGGCACCTCCCCATTTTCACACCCCTTTTTGCACCGTTTCCTTTCTTCACCATCGTTTCCTCGTCACATTTTTGCATTATTTTTTTGGCGTCTTTCCATTTCTGCAACGTTTTCCCATCCTTTCATTTTCCTATGATTTTTTAGGCATCTTTGCTTTTTAACATCATTTTTCACATCCTTCCACTTCTCCCTCGTTTTTTTTCATCCTTCCACTTTCACATCCTTTTTTTTCCATCGTTTGATTTCCTCATTATTTTGCATCCTTCCATTTTTTTGCATTACTTTTTTTTCCACCTTTCCATTTCTGCTTAATTTTTCATCTTTCCATTTTCACATAATTTTTGGCATTTTTGCATAGTTTTCCCGTACTTTGATTCCTGCATCACCTTTTGGCATCTTTCCATTTCTGCCTCATTTTCCCACCTTTCCATTTTCCCACCTTTCCATTTTCCCATCTTTTTTGTGCCCTCCTTCCCTTTCTCCCCCATTTTTGCCCCTTTTTCATTCCTGCATCGGTTTTTGCATCGTTTCACTTCTGTGGTATTTTTCTATCCTTCCTTTTCTGCATCATTTTTTGCACCCTCCCGTTCTCACAGGAATTTTTGCACCCTCCCATTCTCACAGGAATTTTTGCACCCTCCCATTGCCACATTATTTTTCCCATCTCTCCGTTTTGACACAATTTTCCACATCATTTAATTTTTCCCTCATTTTCACACCCTTCCGTTTTCCATCGTTTTCCCAACCTCTCATTTCCGCATCGGATTTTTTTTTTGCATCTTTCTGTTTTCCCATCGTTTTCCACCCCTTTCCGTGCCCCAGGGTGTCCATCCGCCTGCCCAGCACCAGCGGCTCCGAGGGTGTCCCGTTCCGCTCCGTCCCGGAGTGGTTGGAGTCCATCCGGATGCCCCAGTACACAGAGACCTTCATGGCCTCAGGCTACAGCACCATCGAGAAGGTCCTGCAGATGACCAGCGAGTGAGTGTCTCCTTGGTGTCCCCGTGGTGTCCTCATACTCTTTCCATGCTCTCCCCTTGGTGTCCCCACAGTGTCCTCCTGACATTCCCGTGCTGTCCCCATGGTGTGTCCCTTTGCTGTCCCCTTGATATTCCCATTCCATCCCCATGGTGTCTCTATGGCACATTCCCATGGTGTCCCTTTGACATTCCCATGGTGTCCCCATACCATCCCCATGCTGTCCATATGGGGTATCCCCATGGTGTGTCCCCACAGTGTCCTCATATTCTGTACTGTCCCCTTGGTGTCCTCGTGACATTCCCGTGCTGTCCCCACAGTGTCCCTTTGCTGTCCCCATGCTGTCCCCTCAATATTCCCATTCCATCCCCATGGTGTCCCGGTGGTGTCTCTATGGTGTCCCCGTCCCGTGCTGTCCCCATATCATCCCTGTGCTGTCCCCATGGGGTGTCCCCACACTGTGCAATATTCCCACACTGTCCCCATGGTGTGCCTGTGATGTGTCCCCGTGGTGTCCCCTTGGCATTCCCACACTGTCCCCACACTGTCCCCATGGTGTCCCCACACTGTCCCCACACCTTCTCCCCCAGATCCCCGGGCTCAGGGATGTGCTGGGAATGTGCTGGGAACGGAAACCACTTCCATGGCCTTGGCGGCCTGAGGGACGGGATAAAATTAGATGTTCCTTGGCTGGAGAGGCCGGGATGAGTCACGGCTGTCCGTCCATCCCTTGGGATGAGCCGTGTCCGTCCATCTGCCCCCAGGATGAGCCCTGTCCATCCACCCATCTCTTGGGATGAGCCATGTCTGTCTATCCCTTGGGATCAGCTATGTCCATCCATCCATCCATCCATCCATCCATCCATCCCTTGGGATAAGCCATGTCTATCTATCCCTTGGGATGATCCATGTCCACCCATCCTCAGGATGATCCATGTCCACCCATCCTTGGGATGATCCATGTCCACCCATGCCTCGGGATGATCCATGTCCATCCATCCATCCTTTGGGATGAGCCATGTCCCCCCATCCCTTGGGATGAACCATGTCCATCCATCCATCCTTTGGGATGAGCCATGTCCATCTATCCCTTTGGGATGATCCATGTCCATCCATCCCTCGGGATGGACCATCCCTTGGGATGATCCATGTCCACCCATCCTTGGGGATGGCCCATGTCCATCCACCCATCCCTGGGATGATCTACGTCCCTCCATCCCTCGGGAACGCCACGTTGGGGTTCCCCAATCCCAGGGCCTGCTTGGATCCCTCCCACTCCCCTTTCCCCCGGACCCGCTCCCAGCTCCCGTCACCCCACTAATCCCTGTTTTCCGGGTTTTTTCCCAGGGATATCAAGCGGATCGGGGTGCGGCTGCCGGGCCACCAGAAGCGGATCACCTACAGCCTGCTGGGGATGCAGGAGCAGGCGGGGGCCGGGGGGGCCCCGGGCTGACCCCGAGACCCCCCAAATTAATCCCCCCCCCCCCGAGGGGTTTATTTATTGTTCCTCTTATTAATGAGAATTTTTATAGTGTTATTATTATTAACATCCTCCCCCGGGCATGGGGGGAAAACGGGAGCGCCCCTCCCCCTGCCCTCGGAAAAACGGGTGCCAATGGAATTCCGAGCTCCCTGGGAGCTGGGGGAGGTTTTCAGGGGGGGTTTTCTTCTTTTTGCCCCCCCCCCACATTTCAAGAAAAAAAAAAAAAGGGGGCTCAGTCCCAAAACTGATTTATTTTTGCTTTTTTTCTCCCTATTTATTCCTCTCCCACCAGGTTTTTGGGTGGTTTTCCCCATTTCCCCCTCCCTTTAATGCTGTGCCTGCCAGTGTTGCCTTGTATTTTTTAACCTAATTTATTCTATTTTTGTATATTTATTGCGAGGAATTAAAGATTCGGGTGAGAAAAAA